CTGGTATCATTAGATGCAGAAGGGTTAGGCTTGGATACTGACACAAGAGGGGTGCTATGCAGCATGGAGTAAAATTTACACACAATGCTGAGATGAACTTTTGATTTAAAGTTGAACTCTCAGACTCTGGAGGATTATTCAGGGGTCTCCGGCCTTATAAAAACTGGGGCAGGTCCAGGGGCGGACTGACGACTCATGGGGCCCTTGGGCAATAGGGGCTCATGGGGCCCCTGTGTCCTTGCCCACACTCAAAAAAGCCTATAAAAAAGGTACTGGGGCATCTCATGGGGTCCCCTACTGACCCCGGGCCCTCGGGCAGTGCCCGAGTGCTCAAATGGTCAGTCCGCCCCTGGGCAGGTCGCACATACTACCACGTGATCCCATACCGATAATGGCCTGGGTTGTGACGCTGCCCCTCCAGTGGGTAACCAGGATAAAATACCTGGGCATACAAGTGTGACTAGTGATGGCACAGATTTTGTCACCTTTTTGTTACTGTTGCAAGTTTCCAAGTCCAGATTTGAGGCTTGGAGGTCTTTACCCCTATCTCTCACTGGAAAGGTAAACTTAATTAAGATGAAGTTACTTGCCTTTTTTTCATATGGTTTACATAATCCAAGTTTAAACAGTTGGAAGCACTAATGTCCTCCTTTCTGTGGAATAATAGGGCTCCCCACCTTAGTTTAGCTACCCTAAGGCAACCTCTGGCCTCTGAGGGGTTGGTTCTTCCAAATTTTTTTCAATACTTCCTGGCAGGACAGCTCATTCATGCTTATAATTTGCTTGTGGCAAATAAGGATAATGTGTTGGTGGTGACGAAGGCAGCGGTACTGACCTCTTGTATGGCACTCCAGCTACTCCTTTATAGAGGATCCCGAGCTCCATACCCCCTCACTCGAAGGATGCGTTCCACTATCTGAGCATGTTGCAGACTCAGGGTGCTTCCCCTAACTAATGCTAATCGATGGTCCTGCATACTTCTCTGTAGAACAATCTGAATCTCCAGCATCTCTTCCAAATTCCTGAGCTGGTCATCTGGGCATCAAGGTTATGGTTCTAGGGAATTTGTTTTTTAGACAGTAACTTTCCACCTTTTGATATCTTGAAACTGAGGTACTTCTTGCCCAATAGATACATAGTCTACTCTATTCAATTGCGCCATACTTGCTCAATTTCATCTAGCCTGTTTCAGTTTGTGAGCCCTTGCCCAATGCGTACTCTATATAAAGCAATACAACAGCCTACATTGCAGGGTCTAAGTAAATACAAGGGAAAAATAGTCTCTGGTTCTTCCCACTGTGGATAAAGATGATTGGAAGGATATTGGGGACAATCAGTTCCACCATTTAATCTCTCCCAGAGACAGACTTGTGCATTTATAAATAGTTCCCTGCAATTATCTCTGACCAGTCAGGTGGGATGGTTCTCAGCTACCCAGTCTAGTGAATGTTGAAATTGCTCCAGCTTAATTGAAGATTTTCTTCATCTTCTGGACGTATTCAGTAATTCATAACTACTGGGTTCAGTAAGGGCTGTTCAGGTGTCCCAGGAGATTGGTCTTTGTTTGTTGGGCCCTGTGGACTGGCTGTTGGTTAAGCAACCAGAACATTGCTTGGAATCTTCTCTATGTGTCCTTCATTAGGAATTCCCTATACCACCGACCCTAAATACGTGGAGGCCAATTGTAAATACTGCTCTCCCCTCAATGCCACTTATAATACCAGAAGATGTCCCTCTAAATTTGAGAAGGTCTGGCCTCATGTCTAGAGAACTCTGATACTGCGGTTCTGACTTGAACCCTTTGTATGTAATATTTGGCTGGTTGACCAGTGCCCTAAGCACTTTGGTCCCTCTTAAATTAATTTTCTCTCTTTCTTTGCATTGAGTTCCACCAAGGCTTTGTCCTGTAGCCTTTTATAGGACTTATCCTCTGCTGTTGTGGGACCAGGTGACTGTTCTATATTACCATTTGAGGAGTATATTTGAGCAGATTGTACTGCCATCTTTCCTACTTTAAGAGACAACTGGAAGTTCTATATATTACCTTTCACCACGTTGATGATTCTGATGGAGGTCCGGGAGGGAGTGAAGTGCAGCTTGTGTGTTAATCTTTTTATTGTTGATGGGTTTGTCTTGTGAACTGTATTGGTTCCTTGTGTATTCTATTTTGTAAAACTCAATAAAAATAGAATTTATTAACAAAAAAGTTAAACCCCGGGTGTGAAAACTTTGATGCAAATATAGTCCTCAATAGCTTCAAGAGATATAACCCACTTCTTGTGCACCAAATGCTTTGCAAACCCAAATATTACCTTGTAAAAGTAGTAGTGACATCATCACTGGGCTGCACATTGTACAGACAGCAGAGCTGTAAGAGGGGCCTAGCAGAACCCAGAGGGGCCCAGCAGGACCTCCCACTACAGGCTGAATGCAGACTAGAGGAGAGGGCAGATACAAGGCCAATCACCCTATTGAGAGAGAGCAACAGCGGCTGGTTTTAATATAGGAAATTCCTGCACAAGCTTCACACTGGATTACTGCACTGAACTGGAAGAAATACACAACACACACCAAGATTCACGTAAGAATACACATGGATTTTGTGTTTGGACAATATTTGCTTATCAGGTCAGCTTGTGTATATAGTTCAGACATGCTTGTAAACATGATCAACTTGACCCCTAACTGCAAATGCCCCTAAACGCTACTAAAACGCTACTAAAAAATGCTATTGCCAGCGTTTTTTATCCAGCGTTTTTTCCAGAGTTTTTTTTAGCTTAAATAATGATAGTGTGCATAGAGCCTTAGCATTTTTTTAACCTTCAGCTTCTAGGAGCAGAAAAAAATTGTTTTCATAGAGTTTTTTTAAGCAAAAAAATGCTAAATGCTCCTAAATGCTTTTAAACTCTACGAAAACACTACTAACAGCTTTTTTCTAGCTTTTTTATTTTCTACATGTACTGTAAAAACACTAATAAAATTTAGCACACTGTAGTGTTTATGTCCAAATTTACACAAACACTACTGAGCATAGTAATATTTCTGTCTATCTCAGACATTGAAAACTAAGCCAAACACTCAACAAAATGCAGAAAAACACTTTCTATACATACTGAAATTATTGTGCACTTGTTATTTAGAATATTTTAAAGGTTTTACTGTATTGTATAACATTTATTGTATAATAAGCTATACCCGCAACATCATTAAGCTGTGTGCCTTATGTACAATACAAACACTAGTACTGCATTCATTGGCTAAGAACCTCTTCAATGCTATTGGCAGAGCACTTCAAATAAATATTAAGTGGCCACTTTAGCATGCCTTAAGCACCATTTAATACATCTTAAAGCCAAGCTCCTGCAAAAACTTTTTTTTCTTATTTGGAGAGATTGTGGAGGGGATAATTCCTCTTTCTTGCTGTCTGCACCTTCCTGTCACAGTGGGAGCTGCTCCCTTCAACTTGATGTCCAGAAAACAGGATAGTGTCCATGCCAATAACACCTAAGTCTGCAACAACCTAATCTCCCAGTGTTGCTATGGTAATGACATACAAAGTACAGCAGATCAAAATGTATATGTTTACATTTTTAATGTTTATTTAGCAGTTTATTGCAAATCAGCTGGAATAAATGGCTCCCTATAACGTACACATGTTGAATGTAGAAGCATCTTACTGCAATCATATGCAGATGACTGACAAAAATGTGCAATCGTGTGACCTCTACTATGTGCTGCTAGAGGTTCCTTGTGTATAATCACAACAACCACATACCAAGATACAAACTTTGTTTAAGGCATATTTAACAATCAACTTCTTCTAATTGGTCCCTTTTGTTCTGTTAGACATACTGTTGAAAGTGTTTTTGTGATATCCGTTGATCTTGTCAGGAATTTCGTAAGCTGATAACTTCCAATGCTGACTGTTATCAATTACATTGTTCTCTGAGAACTACTGAACCTTGCCCATCTGTGTTAAGGTGAACAGAAGAGGGCAAGGTTTAATTGTCCTACCTTGTGTCTCTTGTCCTGATATAGTAAGGTGAGTGAGTATTGCCAAGCTAGAAAACAAATGTGGTCACCACCTTTACCCCATTGCCTTTGCCTCCCACCAAGTAGATCCTAATACCAGACAATGTTTCTGATCATGTGATCACTGTGATTGGCTGTCACATGATTGGGAGTTCACCCCAGCTGGGGAGGCACATGATGAGCCTGGGAGAGCCTGTCTCTGAGCTGCAGTGGATAAAATGATACTAAAAGTAAATTAACAAAAAACAAACAAAAATGTTATACTTACCTGCTTTGTGCACTAGAGCAGCCTCAATCCTCCTCTTCTCAGGTCCTCTGCTGGTGCTCCTGGCTCCTCCTCCCTGCTGAGTGCCCCCATAGCAAGCTGCTTGCTATGTGGGCACTTGTGCGGGCATGCTTCTGAGCCATGCCCCCCATTCACTCCTCACTGGCTGTGAATGACAGCAACAGGAGCCAATGGATACTGCTACTGTCCCTGAGCCAATGAGGAGGGAGAGAGTCGAGAGAGCAGCTGCTCTTGTGAACATCAGGCTCAGGTAAGCATTAGGGGCAGCTGTGAGGGGGGAGCTGCACACAAAACCTTATTTTACCTTCATGCATAGAACGCATGAAGGTAAAAAAAAACCTTCAGCCTTTAGAATCACTTTAACCTTACCTGGAGCAGAATCAGCACTATGTATGTCACTTGTGTAGCTTACTCCACAGGAAACCATTTGTTCCATGGGTATAATGATCAATACCCCTAATGATCAATCTTTAACTATTTTAGCAGATCAACTAAGATAATAAAAATCCCCTGGGTAATTCAACATAATGAGATGGCTGCCAACAAGCGGGAACATCTCTCAGTAGCTTAATTAGATAAAAATTGTCTTTTGTAGATTATCCCTTACTAGTAAAAATGGTAGATAAGCCTGGATGGGACCAGGTTGTTGAATTTCATTTATCACATCTGTTTTTTACCACAGTGATAATCTGTACCAGATGACCTCCCAGCTAGATTGCATGGCATGGAACCAGATGAATCTGAGTTCTTCACTGAAAGGGTAAGAGTTTTCCCATAGGTTCACGTGTCCATTGTCTATATAAAAACTGTACTGTTGTATCTCCATTATTCTACTTCTATACCAGCCTTTCTCAACCTTTTCAACATGGAGGAACCCTTGAAATAACTTTCTGGTTTCAGTGAACCCCTGTTAAAAAGTACTATATCTATAACTCATGATACATTCGTGTGATAGTCAGTGGGAGGAATGCTCCTTACACTTGTGGTCATTGGGAAGAATTACCCCATATAGATGGCTAAAAAAGATCAATGGTGTCAGTGGGAACTTGTATGAGAGGCAGAAATTGCTCAAAGAACCCATAGTAACATTTGAAGGAACCCTAGGGCTCCATGGAACCCTGGCTGAGAAACCCTGTTCTATACACTGTATTTGTGCGTAATGAGTACTGTGACTGACAGGAGAATGCATTATGCTTGCAACTGATGCAATAATCAGCACCAAAATAATCAAATTCAAGAAATCAGCTTTAAATAAATAAAAAGATGCAATATCATTGGCTGCTGTGGTTTAGTGCTATTTTAACATAGTGATTTCATTTGCACTTTATTAAAGGGAATTTAAAGGTTGTTTTTGTTGTTTATATTGTGTAGAGTACAAAAAAGTGTGTGTGTGTGCAAGGGCTGTACCAAAAGTAACACAAAAGTCATAACTTTTTTTATTAACTGCCTGGAATCCATTATCTACCTGCAATAAAAATGAAGAGTTACTATAGAGGAAGAGTTACTCTACCAACTTGTAAAATTTGAAGGACCTACGTAAGTTAATAAAAAAAGTAATGCCCACTTTTGCACAGCCTGTGTGCATGTGTGTGTGTGTGTGTGTGTGTATATATATATATACACAGGGATTTTTTCTCAGAGGATAGTTGCGGGAACTCCCCCATTCTGAGTCACCTCCTGTTTCTGCCCCCACCTCCAAGCACCATCCCAAGGTTCCACCCCCCCACCCACCTCTCAGGACCGCTCCTTTTTAGAGAATACAGAGCCAAGTAGAGTGGTGCTAAGTAGTATGGAATTTGTTAATGATAACAAGAAAAAGCAGTAAAAATATATCCCCTGCAGTCAGCAGCAATTGATCCCCCCTCCCTCCAGCAACAACAACAGATTCCCCCAGCAACAATGCACCCTTGCAATAAAATACCACCCCAGCAACAATAGATCCCCAGCAGCAACAACATATCCCCCAGCAGCTAGTATCAATAGATGATATAGCAGCCAGCCACAATAGACCCCGTATTTAACAGTAGATCCCTTCCAGCAAAAATTTACCCCCCAAAGAACAATAGATCCACCACCAACAACAATAGACCCCCTAGCAGCAATAGACCACCATGCACAAATAGATCTTTTCCTGTGACAATAGATCCCCCAGCAGCCAGCATCAATAGAGCTTCCAGCACCCCTTGCCATTACAAACATTCAGTGCTTATGGTGCCAGAAATGCGCTCCCCTGTGTTCCCCCACATTCCTGCAGAAAAAAGAAAAAGATAAGCCATATATATATATATATATATATATATATATATATATACACACACACTATGCCAAAAGTATTGGGACGTCTGCCTTAACGCACATGAACTTAGCATTCCACTCTTAGACAGTAGGGTTCAATATAGAGCTGGCCCACCCTTTGCAGCTATAACAGCTTCAAGTCTTCTGGGAACGCCGTCCACAAGGTTTAGGAGGTTGTCTATGGGAATGTTTAACCATTCTTCCAGAAGCTCATTTGTGAGGTCAGGCACTGATGTTGAACGAGAAGGCCTGGATCACAGTCTCTGCTCTAATTCATCTCAAAGGTGTTCTATCAAGTCTGTGCAGGTCAGTCAAGTTCCTACACCCCAAACTCACTCATCCATGTCTTTATGGACCTTGCTTTGTGCACTGGTGAGCAGTCATGTTGGAACAGGAAGGGGTCATCCCCAAACTGTTCCTACAAAAGTTGGGAGCATGAATTGTCCAAAATATCTTGGTATGCTGACACCTTAAGTGTTCCCTTCACTGGAACTAAGGGGCCAAGCTCAACCCCTGAAAAACAACCCCACACCATAATCCCCCTCCACCAAACTTCACACTGGCACAATGCAATCAGGTAAGAACCGTTCTCCTGGCAATTGCCAAACCCAGACACATCCATCGGATTGCCAGACAGAGAATTGTTATTTGTCACTCCAGAGAACAAGTCTCCACTGCTCTAGAGTCCAGTGGCGGTGTGCTTTACACCACTCATCCGACGCTTTGCATTGCACTTGGTGATGTAGCTTGTTGATGTAGCTGGATGCAGCTGCTCAGCCATGGAAACCCATTCCATGAACCTCTCTATGCAGTGTTGTGCTAATCTGAAGACCACACAAAGTTTGGAGGTCTTTAGCTATTGACTCTGCAGGCAGTTGGCGACTTCTGCACACTGTGCGCTTCAGTATGTGCTGACCCCGCTCTGTCATTTTACATGGCCTACCAGTTCGTGGCCGAGTTGCTGTTGTTCCCAGTTTGTTATAATACCACTAAGAGTTGACCATGGAATATTTAGTAGCAAGGAAATGTCACAGATGGACTTATTGCACAGGTGGCAACCTATCACAGTACCACGTTTAAATTCACTGAGCTCCTGGAAACGAGCCATTGTTTCCTAAATGTTTGAAGAAGCAGTCTGCATGCCTAGGTGCTTGATTTGGAGGACTGGCCCAATACTTTTGGCAATATAGTGTATATAATATATATATATATATATATATTTTTTTTTTTTTTTTTTTAAAGAGTAGCAGCTTTTATTCTCAATAAATATGAAATATACCTAAATTGCATGGATATCAGATTACGCAGACTGCAGAGATGAGACGTGGACTGTTATTAGAAAGCTCAGCATGTTTTACAAAATGAGAGAGGAATTTGTGAATTATGTTGCACATCAAGGGAATACAGAATATGAGACATATCTACTATTAGATTGCAGGCTGATTCACAAATTCCTCCCTCTGCTGCTCTAAAGGCTCACTCAGACAGTATATCTACCTCCTACCATTTCGTAAAGTGGAACTAATCTCATGCACTTTTTACAAACTCAGTTTTTTAACAATATATGAGTCTAAATTATTGCCTATAGTCATAGTTTTGATAGTATTATAAGAATTTACAATAAAACCCTACAGTCCAAGCTCAGCCCTCTGTGTCTAAAAGGAATACCATCTTGGAGAAGTCCCTTTCTTTTTTTTGGGTAGTCTCATCCTCCTACAGCTGATGTCACACAAAATCCTGTGCATATGCAATATGAGGAAATACAATGCCCATACATGTCAATGACAGCTATCGCGAGAGGACACAGCTGCCGGACAAGGAGAGTGACGTCACCACCGTCAAAATATAGTGCCCTGACTTGGCTCCATGCATACTAGTGTTTTTTAAGCTCGATAAATGCTGGGAAAAATGCTGGATAAAAAACACTGGTAATAGCATTTTTTAGTAGCGTTTAGAAGCGTTTAGGAGCGTTAGCGTTTTATTCGCCTGTTTACAGTACATGTAGAGAAAAAAAAAAGCAAGAAAAAAGCTAGGAGCATTTTAGTAGCATTTAGCAGCATTTAGGAATATTTCGTGTTTTTTTCTTCTAAAAAAAAAGCTCCAAAAAACTCTGCAAAAAGAATTTTTTCTGCTCCTAGACACTGAAGCTCAAAAATGCTAATATCCTAAAGTAGAGTGCATGGACACATAGGATAACACTAGTAATCTTGTAGGAGCAGAAAACAAATATGCTGATAATAGCTTCTAGGAGCTTAAAAAATGCTAGTGTGCATGACACCTTAGTGTGTATTTGTTTTTTTCCCTCTGAATTAGATTCAACAAAGAGGTTGAAATGTATGATTACAGGGGCCGTAGTATGCAGTACATAAATCTTTCAATGTCAGCTACCTTTTTATTTAAAGTACATTTAATGCCTTTAGTTCCACTATAATATTGGGTGTGTAAAAATCTCTCTAATCTACAGCAGTTAGGATTAAAGTATAACTAAAGACAAAACTTTTTTTTAGTCTGGACAGAGCGAAGAGGGATTAGAACCCCTGTCAGTTTTTATTGCTGTCTGTGTCCTCATTAGGGAGATTCACCCTCTGTTTTCGTCCTGTTTATAATTATCATTGAAAGTGAAAGCAAAAGAAACCCCAAATTTTGGGTTGTCCACAGAATAGTAATAGAGGGGATATTTTACAATGGGGACACTAGTTCCGGTGACCTGGGGGTCCCAAAGGGATTCCCTTAACCATTTCCGACCGGCCGTTGTATATAAACGGCCGGACGGTGGCACTGCAGGGGGTCGGGTGGCCGTCTATAAACGGCCTCCCCGCACCCTGCTTGTGCGCGCTCCCTGGGAGCACGCAGCACCGCGATCCGGTGCCCGCTGTGTCCTCCGGACACAGTGAAACACCGATCGTCAGACGGGACCTCTGTATGAGGTCCCTGATCATGTGATCACTGATTGGCCAATCAGTGATCACATGCAAAGTAGTAAGCAAGATGTCACTTCTGACATCATTGCTTACTATGTGTGAAATCTGTGAATGATCACAGAGGTCACATGGTACAAGGCTATTCACAAAAGCCTTGTACCATGTGACAAGCTGTGACCAATCACAGCTCACTCAGTTCTTCTCAATGAGTGCAAGAATGCACACAGAGAGAAAGAGAAATGATTGCTTTTACATCCTATATGGGTGTAAAAGCAATCAGTGTAAAAAAAAAAAAAAAAAAAAAAAAAAATCTTCATCACCCCTCACTAGTACTGCTAGGGTGACAGTATGTAAAAAAAAAAAAAAAAAAAAAAAAAAATAATAATATAAAAAAAAAAAATAAAAATGTAAAAAAAAATGTTTAAAAATTATAATTTTTGCTTATAAACTAATTTGGATTTTTTTTTTTTTTTACTAAAAAGATAACGGAATAAATTTTGGCTAAGATTTATGATGAAATATTATTTATTTGCATAATTTTTAT